GTGTTTGCAATCCATGTTTAGAGTCCCTACAGTTGGTCTCTCTTTTCTAATCACAAGTTCGCCTTCAATCAGTGTTCTATGCAGAGTCAATGTCGCGTTGTATCCCCAGAAAGTCTGCTTCTGGACAGCATTCTCTCTCCAAAAGTCTACCTTTGGCTTAACTTCCTTGGTGATGTGTCCTTGTGCAGGAATCCTTTGTTAAGAGTCTACGTCGATCGGTCTCTTTCTTATATGTGTTTAACTCTGACTAGACATGTATATTTTACTCCCCGTTCGCCTTCATTCGGTGTTCTTTCTCCAGGAATCTATCTGCAGTTAGTTTCCCTTCTTTGATATATCCAATCGAGATTGCTTTGTTAGATCTCATCCATTTCCGATATCTTCGGTCGATTCCGCTGTGTTAGGTCTCTTCCTCCCTTGATATCTTGGTCGAAATTGTTATGTTAGATTTCTTCCTTCTTCCTTCTTCCGTATTTCTGGTTGAGATCGATGTGTTAGATCTCTTCCATCTCTAATATCTTCGTCCGAGTCTGTTGTGTTAGGTCTCTTCCTTCTTTGATATTTTTGATCAAAATCAATGTGTTAGATTTCTTCCTTCCTTGATATATCCGGTCGAAATTGCTTTGATTAGATCTCTTCCATCTTTGATATCTTCGATCGAGCCTGCTGTGTTAGGTCTCTTCCTTCTTTAATATCATTGGTTGAAATTTTTGTGTTAGATTTCACCCTTCCTTGATATATCTGGTCGAGATCGCTGTGTTAGATTTCTTTCATCTCCGATATCTTCGGTCGAGTCTATTGTGTTAGGTCTCTTCCTTCTTTGATATCTTTGGTTGAAATCGATGTGTTAGATTTCTTCCTTCCTTGATATATCTCCGGTCGAGATCACATTGTTAGATCTCTTCCATCTTCAATATCTTCGGTCGAGTCCACTGTGTTAGGTCTCTTCCTGCTTTGATATCTTTGGTTGAAATTATTGTGTTAGATTTCTTCCGTCTCTGATATACATGATCGAGATCGCTGTGTTAGATCTCTTCCATCTCTGAAATCTTCAGTCGAGTCCGTTGTGTTAGGTCTCTTCCTTCTTTGATATCTTTGGATGAAATCGTTGTGTTAGATTTCATCCTTCCTTGATATATCTAGTCGATATCGTTGTGTTTGATCTCTTCCATCTTTGATATCTTCGGTCGAGTCCGTTGTGTTAGGTCTCTTCCTTATTTGATATCTTTGGTCAAAATCACTGTGTTAGATTTCTTCCTTCCTTGATATATCTAGGAGAGTTTACTTTGTTAGATCTCTTCTATTTCTGATATCTTCGGTCGAGTCCATTGTGTTAGGTCTCTTCCTTCCTTGATATCTTTGGTCGAAATCATTGTGTTAGATTTCTTCCTTCTTCCGTATTTTTGGTCGAGATCACTTTGTTAGATCCCTTCCATGTCTGATAGTTTCATTTGAGATCACTTTGTTAGGTCTCATTCATCTCTAATATCTTTGGGTAAAATGTGAGATCCCATTTTTTCCTGACACCTTTGATTGAGTCTGGTTTTTTAGGTCTCTTTCTTGTTAGATATCTTCGTTAGAGTCTACTGTAGTGGATCTTTTTCTTGAGTATCTGATTTGTGTCTGTGTGTCTAACCCTGGTTTGACATACATTTATCCTCGATAACCCCTTTCGCCCAAAGAAGCAAAAAGAAGAAAAAAATACAGAAAACCAAAAAATATTATAATACCTGGATGGCTTCGGAGTGCAAATTTTTGGATTCTTTAAGTATTTAATCTTCTTCCACCCTGAAAGTTCGAAAGGCTGACGCCAATCTCACCTTCAGTTTGAAGGTGATTAAATAGGGGCAGTTGTTGCACCCCAAAATTTTCCCTCCTAATTTCTTCTATTCTGTCTTAGACTTTGCATTAATCTGCATCATTCCAATAGTTCATGTGCATAGCATGCATTTTCATAAAAAATAGATCACCTGAGGTTCAAAAAATTAGTAGTTATGAAGCTAGGGTTTACAACTGACTAAGGTGTATATGTTCAATAAAGCCTGATTCTTCTGGTTATCCTTCAAGTAGTGAAATATGGAATTGGGGTTGTAACCTATGGTTATAGAGGGTTCCGTTCTCTTCAAGTTAAGGGTCTATTACTCATTCAGATGCATTCAATACAAGAGTCAACGTTTTTCTCCACCAAGTTTGTGCTTGTCAGCATTTCATCAACACAGGTTCATTAGGTTTTTAAGTCATGGCCATCTTGGTCATATTTTTTATGTATTCCCATGTTTATTTCCAAGATATTCTACAAGGTCATCTAATGGCTATTAAATCAGGCATTAGTTATCTCCTTGTGCTCAACATCATCCTTTGATTAGGGTTTATTTCTCTAAATCATGTACCTTTCAAGAGAGGTTTTTCTGTGAAGTTGTGATTATCAGGCAAGGCTATCATCAGGGGATATCCTCCATGAATAACTAGGGTTTCAATTGATATATCTTTGGAAAATAAGAAGGAAATCATTGCTTGAATTTCTAGTCATGTGGGCACAAGCTCAATTCTAGAGAAGAAGATTCAGTTGGACCTTCTTCATGAATTAGGGTTTGTATGCCTTATGATGCAAAGCTCTTCATATGGTCGATTGGCTTACTTGTGATATAATCTACTTTCTTCGGATTTCATTTCAATGCTTTGAGATCAAAATCTAAAATATTTTTATGGAAGATTAGGGTTTTGAATTAAGGACATGCAAACGTCTAAGCATGGATTCATTCAAGTTGATTTAAGGAAACCCATATTTGTTCATTTGTAGATATTCAAGCAAGGGAATTCATCTAAATTGATAGAACGCGAGACATTGGGACTTCACAAGCACAAGGTCAATGAAGGACTTGGGATATCAAAATCAAAAATAAAGGAAAACATTTCGTTTTCAGGAAACTCAAAATCAAATGAAAAGAAAGTAGTTTGCACTCTTGATAATTTGTCGTTTGATTCAAAAGTTCCCAAAGTTACATTTGTATTCAAGATCATATTGCATTACCTTGGTTTCAAGTTAATTACAGGCGCAAAGCCATTTATAGTTCACACTATAATATTCAAGTTCATCTAATTTCAATTCAAGTTCCATTCACCATTTCAAAACCTCTTCATTCCATATTCAACAAAAATTACAACAAGTTCATTCATTTACAAATTCACCATAAGTCATTTCAATTTCAAATTCTATACACCATTTTTGTCGATTCAATTAAATTCAAAACACCATTACAAAACCATATAAAACTACACTCGAAAATATTACATGGATAAATTATCAAAAAAACTTAAACCCAATCTCCAATCTTTCTTCATACAAATTATATTTTCCAATCACCACGCCAAGTGCTTGACTATCCTTCGAATTACGTGATTCACCACCATGCTATGCCAAAGTTCTTCATCTTCATGTATTCCTCGATATTCATGCCCCAAATGAACCAATCTGCTACATTCTTCAAACTACCCTTCTGCCCTGTTTTAGACTCAACCAAACCTGCATACAATTGCTAAAGTCATGCCAAAACAGTTCAGCCATGCACATAAACATATTGCAGCATGCTAACAAAACCAAACCTGCACATAAGACCAGTCCAATACAAATCCAGTCAGCATTGCATACCTTTGTGAAATAGATCACATAATTCAGTTAAATACAGTTCCGCACTTTTAGAATTTAATAGTTCATAACTATTCAAACAAGACCTACAATAAATTTTCAGATCTTTCAACCAACCTACTAACAAGGTTGATTATAACATTAACTTAAAAAATTTTCTAACATTTCCCAATCCTTCTTTTTCTAAATAGATTTGACATTCAGTACGGTAGATAACAGTGAGTTGTCACTAACATGATTTTCATTTTCAATTTCCAGGACCTCCAAATCATTTTTAAATTAACCTCTTAAATGTCTTGAATAATAGCCTCTAGCAACTTTACTAACAAAGTTTCTAGCACTTTATTAACATTCTAACAGATTTTTAACTACCACCCAAACTTTTTCTTTCATCCTATAACCACATATAACTGACAGTTAACATTTCCAGTAATGAGCTCATAACTGAAAACAAAACCAGTTCTTGCATACCAGCTGCTCTCATCATTCATCAAATCATTTCACAATTCCAAACCAAATAAACCACCTTGCACTTACTACTAACAGAACTAACAGTAGCATTCTCCTAACAATTAATACTATCACTTTGTATTAACAATTTTACCACCTATCCAAGTTACTAGCAGTTTTAAAACTAACAGGTTCTATTTCTAACCCTAACTACCTTTTCTAGCTAACATTTCACTAACTAATTTTCCAGTTTTTTACTAACATATCTCATTTCTTTTTTTACTACAACTAACATTTTTATCAAAGCCAGTTGATTAACCGAGTTTTCTAATATAAAATAACATAATATTCCATCTTACTAACAGAAAAGGCAGAAAATAGAATAGGGAGAAACAGGTTCAGAGATTGCAGTCCATAACTAATTACTAACAGTCTAAACACTCCTAACTGATTTCATAACAAACTCTAACCAATTCCTAACTAACGTCTAACAACACTAACATAAATATAAAAATAGAAGCTTACCTGGATTTATTCAATCTTCAACGGGTAGAACAATCAGAAAATTCTCTCTTCTTCCTCTCCCAAAACTTTACTCTTCATCTACTTCATCTATCTTGAATCTCTGAAGAATCACCACCAAAACTCTCTCTCAAAAATTCTCCAAATTGCATCTTCTCTCATCTCTCTAAACTAAACCTCTCTGCACCCAACAGAACCTTCAGGCATCAAGATCAACGCTTCATTATGCATCTTTTCATTATCTTCACATTCTTCATTCTGCAGAAATAATAAAAATTTTCTCTCATCTCTTGGCTCTCTGCACTTCAAAAATCTCCATCATCCATTCTTCAATCTGTATCATTCACGCTACTTCATCCTTCACCTTCATTCTTCACAATTGTTAAAGAATCACCATCAATGATCCGTGTTTCGATAGAAACGCAAAATCAACAAAAAACGCAAGCATACGCATCAGATAATCAGAGTAGAACAAGAGAATAAGGAAAAAATTGAAAGTGCGGAAGCAAGAAAATGGAGCTACCTGAATTGCTGAGTCTCTAGATTTGTTGCTCCGCTCACCATGATTGAAGAAGCCTCCGGCCGGTAAGACTATAACTTTATGATTTTTCATCCTTTCCAACCTTTCTTCACACTAGAGCATGTGTTATAGCCCGTAGAGTGATAACCCTAAGGTCTCAGGCTCTGATTCTTCAACATCTTCATTTGGTTTCAGTTTTTGGATACCTAAGGTTTTCCATATTTTCGTTTAGTTTTTGTTTGGGTTAAGATTGAGGGAGTGTGACAAAATGGAAGAGGGAGGAAGATGGAGAAAGATGACAGTGGCGGGATATAAAACATTGCGGCAGAGGATTAGAAATTGAAAGGGATTCAGTGTCGTTTCACAAGGAAGAAGAAGAGAGTTTGTGTAGTGACAATTCAAGAAACATTGATGAAACCCTCTCCATTCTATAACGACATCGTTTTGATTTCTTAATCTTGTTTTCAATTGGATTAATAAGTATATACGGATTAAGTGGTATTTTGAAACAAGATTTCAGTGATTCTCTCGTAATGGATCAATCCATTGGACCTGGACCAAAATTCACCACATAAGCCCGCATAGTTTCTTTTTGTCTAAGGGAAAGACAATAAAAATATGCTTTCGGACCGGACCCTGAATTGGCCCAAGGGTTTTTTTTAATGAAGATTATTGCTTTGCAAACAGACAAAACTAATTTTTCTCTTTAATGGGCCTTCAGCGCCTAATTACTCCAGTACCACCTATTTCAAGATTCACACCCCTTGTGTAGCCTTTCCCATTTTTCTTTATTTTTTTATATATTTGTTAGATGATATTTTTGTTGATAAGAAATATGTATGAACTAAATAACACTAATAAAGAAGATGCTAGATTTTATTTATTTGTTCTTTTTAGGAATTAAATCCCGATTATCCGATTATTTAAGATTGCTAGTTCACCTTTGCTTATTGAGATTTGAGTTTTATGCAGGTTTATCGTGTGATATACAGAAATGCTCGAAACTTTGATTGTGATTTATTTTCACATCGATGATGTTTTGACACTTATTCCGAGTATTTGATTCCAGACTCTTTTCTTTGCTTGGTGGAGCTTACTCGAAGTTTTCCAGATATCTTTATTTTGATACGCATTGCTACAAATTGATATTCATTTCGTATTTTCTCCTGTTTATCTCATTTTTCACTTTACTGCTTTCTAGATATCATGAGATGTAGGAAATAAAGAGTGTGCGCTCGAAGTCGCTGTTTAAAGACCTATAACAGGCATTCTGCACTTCATTTACTATATGTGTTGTGCTTGTGTTTGTTTCCTTAGTGGATTGATCGATGAGTCACTCAATTTAGATATTGAGATCACGACTTCGCTCTCATTGCATGTTCCCCGTAGGATAGTTTTGTTAGACTTTCTTTAGTATACTAGCCTAGATAGGATCTCTCTAGGTGTGCTCTCTTGAGCTTATTTGCTTGTTTGTTTGATATCATCTTTGTGTGCATGTTTTGAGATGATATACCCTCGGCATGTTCCCTTAGGAGCTCTAGATTCAACTATAGATGATGATTCGAGATAGACATAGTTTTAGGTGATAGACCCTTGCTATTCTCCTTTAGGACTTCTTGATTCATCCATAGATGATGAGTTGAGATAGTCATTAGGATTGTTATCTAAGCATGTCAACTTAGGGTTGAGATTTCCCTTCAAAGATCAACTTTAGGATCATTCATTGTATGATAACATTAGATATAGATTTAGGTTAGTCTCCCTTTAGACTTTTATTTCCCCTTTTGCATTTGCATTAAAACAAAAACTTCTTTTTCTTGCAAACTTCATAACACTTAAAGATTACTGATGAGAGTCATACCTTTGTTAAGCGTGGAAAATGATAAGTGGTTTTCTTCTCGATATTATTATTCTTCCATTATAAGCCTTGGTGTGGTTCAAGTCTCAAATACTTATTTCATGAATAAGTAGAGAAATGGCTAATATCTCTCTCTTGAGATTAATTAGCTTTTATCCACATCAAAAACCCCAACAAATACAAACTCTTTTTCCTTTGGGTTTTTCTTTCGAAACTTTTTCAAAGGAACATGTTAATTCACTTTTGTGCTGACGTGTAAGTCTCCAAAGGTCGAGTTGCAGAAGAAGGAGAAATTAATATTGTTCATTAAAAAATATAAACCAACAAAAACATTTGAAGTCGAACTACGGCTGCTCTGATTCCTTAAAAGGGATACGTAGGCATTAGGGTAGGGCCCGAGCGAGCACAACTTTTTATTTTCCCTATATTCTTTTCTCTTTTCTTTTGCATGCATTCCTTGTACAGCTTATATTTAGATTCTAACAAACCCATTAGATAGACAACAAAGTGGAAACCGTAGAGTACTACGGGCGTGTGGGGTGCTAATACCTTCCCCTCGCGTAACAGACTCCCTTACCTGTATATCTTGGTCGTTCGACCTTGATTTCACCCTTCTCAGGTTTACTCGATGTTTACCTTTCCGCTCTTGTGGGATAAAAAATGTTCGATGGCGATTTCATTATCAGTTGATTGTTCAGTCGGTAGTTTCAGGAGTTTTACTCAAAATAGGTCTTATAGAGATTCTATTTTGAATGTAACAGGATGTGTTCACTGCTTCTGCCCAGAAGTGCTTAGCCATTTGAGTTTCTCGGATCATGGTGCGAGCCATTTCTTGCAATGTCCTATTTTTCCTCTCTACAAGCTGATTTTGTTGTGGAGTTCTAGGGCAGGAGAAATCATGGGATATGCCATTAGAATAAAATAATTCAAAATCTTTGTTTTCAAATTCTCCACCATGATCGCTTCTAACTCTGACTATTTTGAAATTCTTTTCATTTTACACTTAGGAGCACAAAGAAGCAAACAAAGAATGTGACTCATCCTTGTGTTTTAAGAATTTTACCCATGTTCATCTGTTGTAATCATCAACGATGACTAGTCCATATTTCTTACCATTGACAAAAGCATTTTTCACAGGTCCAAATAAGTCAATGTGAAGAAGTTCTAATGGCCTGGAAGTAGAAACAACCTTTTTAGCTTTAAAATAATATTTTGAAAACTTGTCTTTCTAACATGCTTTGCAAAGGGCGTTTGAAGTATACTTCAGATTGGGAAAACCTCTAACTAATCCAAGCTTATTTAGTTGAGATATTTTTCTCAAGCTAACATGGCCCAGACATCTGTGCCAGACCCGCTACTCTTCTTGAACAGTCAGAAGACATTTTACATTCTGGTTTTTCAAATCTGATAACCTTATTTTGTAAATGTTGTTCTTCCTCTTACCATTAAATAGAACTGGGCCATCCTTCTGACTTGCGGCTTTACAATACATTTGATTTAAAATGACGTCATAACCATTATCACTAAGTTGGCTAATTAGTAAGAGGTTATGCATCAAACCCTCGACTAAAAGAACATTGTTAATAGAAGGAAGTTTACCATTACCAATTGTTCCAGAGCCAATGATCTTTCCCTTATGGTTGCCTCTGAAACCAACGACTCCTCCAGACTTAAGTTCCAAATCTTGAAACATATTCCTTTCGCCTGTCATGTGTCGTGGGTATCCACTATCCAAATACAACGAATGGTGTCTCAGTGGAACCATCAAGGATATTTGAAACATAGATTATTTGATCCTTAGGTATCCATTTTTCGGGTTCTTTCTTGTTAGTAGTTTTAGAGGTTCTGACACCTTTGGAATCTTGTGCAGCAGGATAATCAAGTAGAATTAGTGCATGATATTTAGGCTTAGAAGTTTCCTTCTGTGTCTATCGTTGTGTTTCAATGAAATCAGAACCTTCTTGTTCTGGACATTTTAGCTTTGTGCGAGCAAGCACGAAATGTTCAGAAAGAGGTTTTGGTTTGACACTTAGAGTCTCATCAATTATTTTTGATGGTCCTAAATATCCCAAGCCTCTACTTCCATTTCTGCTAACGCCATAGATTATTGAAGCCATCTTGCTTCTATCTATGTTTTTATCTAGGAAGTGCTGAAAAGCTCTATCATATCTGATTACTTCACCAGTAACAGATGTGCTAGAGATGATCTCTTCTTCTAACCTTGAGAATTTACTTCTAAGAGCAAGATTTGATTTTTCTAAAACAATTAATTTTTCATTTAAATCAGAAAAGTTTTTCTCATTGTTTTATGTTTACTTAGAAGAAGTTGATATTTTATCATCATTTCAGATAAACAAGTTTCAAGTTCAAAACGAGATAGAGAAGCCATTACCTCAGCATCGTCTTCAGAGTCTGACTCATCATCACTGTCACCTCACACTTTTATATAACTTCATCAGTGCTTGTATTGGCCATGAGTGCTACTTTAGCATGTTCTTCATCAGATTCTTCTTCTTATGATACTTAATCATCCCATGTTTCCATGAGACCCTTCTTTACTTTGAATACTTTCTTAGGCTTCTTGTCTTTTCTGAGCTTTGGGCATTCATTCTTGTAATGTCCAGGCTCTTTGCACGCATAGCACGTGACTTCTTTCCCCAAAAATTTCTTCTGACTAGATGTAGATTCATATTTGTCATTTGTTTTTCTTGATATTTGGCTTATCCTTCTGGATATCAGAGAAAGTTCATCTTCATCTGAATCTTCTTCAGATCCTTTTGATTCTTCTTCAACTTGAAAGTCCTTTTTCTTTCTAGACTTAGACTTCAGAGCCACAAATTTAACTCTTTTCTGAGGTTCATCTTCTTCAAGCTCTATCTCATGACTTCTTAAAGAACTGATTATCTCCTCAAGACTGGTATTGTTCAGATCCTTTGACAACTTGAAGGCATTTACCATTGGTCTCCATTTCTTAGGCAGACTTCTGATAATTTTCTTGACATGATATGCAGTAGTGTATCATTTGTTCAGAACCTTAAGTCCCGCAACAAGAGTCTGAAATCTTGAAAACATGGTTTCCACAAATTTACCATCTTCCATTCTAAAGGCTTCATATTTCTAGATTAGGGACAAAGCCTTTGTCTCCTTAACTTGAGTGTTGCCTTCATGAGTCATCATAAGAGAATCAAAAGTAGACTTTGTAGTCTCTCTATCTGTGATCTTCTCATACTCATTA